CCTCGTCGATGGATCACACAGGCACAGGTCACAGGACAGGACAGGAGATAATATAACCCAGAATTAGAAGGACGTCATCTGATCATCAGCAGCACGACACCGTCGGAAGAAGGAAAAAAGAAAAGGAAGAAATGCAAAAGTTAAAAGGGTTGTTCAAGGTGTTAATAGTCTGGATAAGTAATAATATAGGTAGAGGGATCGTAGCGGTAGCGCGACAGTTATGACTCCGACTTTGGCGTCGTCGTCGTCGCTCAGCTACTCGCACGTGGGGCCCGCCAAGTCTCTTCACCTCACTCTCAGCCCACCAGCCGGTCAGAACTCAAATCAACCGGAGGATTAATTAAGGAAGAGCACGCCTCTACTAGCATTGACGATGCAGCGCAGTGCACTGGCTGCCTCGAGCGCTCTGGTAGCGTGTTTAATTTACGTCATGTTCGCTTGCTTATAAGCTCGTATTTTTTAATTAATAAATAATATTTTTTTCTCACAATAAATCAACTAACAGTACTTTTAGTCAGCCATGGTTTAATCATATGAACATTATAGGGTATTCTTTTATTACAATTGGAGTAAATTCTAGGGTCGGTTCTTAGAATTTGTTCTCATTTCTCGTCTCGGTCCCGAAGCTTGTAAAATACACACACAACTTGTTCAACTTAATTATATTGATTTATCCTTGTCCTGATACTTGCAAGTTACACACTAATTTTCTATAGACTTGTTCTGAGTTTCTATTCTTCTCGCAGTACTGCATGCTACTTGTACACTCAGCTCCCTAAACTTATATTTACTTTACCATATAGGTCCAACCTCCCTCGTCTGCCTCTTCATGCTGATGTAGCTTGCACCGCGGTTTAGACCTGTTGGGTGTTGCAATTGAAGCCTTCACAAAATCAACATCATGAATCAAATAAAAAAACCAAACAGATCCAAATCTACCGTTTTGATTCGGACATGTGAAAAATATTTTGTTTCGGTGGTCCATCGTCTCTGATGTCAGCTTTATCACCCTCTCCTCCAACTGCTCTCAGGGCGCACACATGATCAAGGGAAGATATGACCTCCTTCATTGCCTTAACGAAGAATTACCTGAGCTCGATGCCATGGCAAAGGTTTAGGGGAAGGGGACGGTGTGTGTGCATAGAATAGAGGGTGGGACAGAATTGCATGCAGTGGAAAAGAAGAGAGGGCGTATATGACTATAAGTATCAGAAGGAAAATTTAGAAAGACAAAACGCAAAAAGACATGGAACAATTGGCAATTTCCCACAAAAATTGTTGGGATGGTACAATAATACATATTTACGGAGCTGATTGTGTAATTTGTAAGTGTCAAGACTAGGATGAGAACTCATGACAAGTTCAGAGAGGGGGAGTGTGTAGTTAAGTTGCAAGTATTGAAACAAGAACTCATGACAAGTTCAATAACCGCTAGTGAAATTTACTTTTTCAAATGTTTAGTTGGAACAGGAGGAGGTGCGCCCTAGTGTACAACTTTTCTCAACCAAACACCAGTTTATTTTGTTTTAATAAAACACGCATTGTCGGTGCAGAAAGTGACCAACATGTAAATATTTGTAGTTTTGCCATACGTTGTGATCGGATGTGGCCTAGCACTCAATGACACAGGGTTTATACTGGTTCAGGCAACGTGCCCTACGTCTAGTTTGAGTCGGTCGGTGACTTTATTCCTGAGCCCAAGTGCTCGAAGTTTGCTGTGGGGTTACAAACGGAAGGGAGTAAGATTGGGGTGCAAGAGGTCCGGTCGGACTCTGCTCTGAAGGGCCGAGAGTGACGGGAGCTCCGCTATGTGCTAAGTGTTCGAACGTCTGTTGTTCGTTGGAATCCTTGGTCGTTCGGATCGTTGGAGCGTGTTTCAGTTGTCGTCCGATTGATCTCCCCGTTGGGAGAGAGCGCATCCCCTTTTATAGATGAAGGGGACGGCCTTTACAAGTGAAAGAGAGAGAGAGTGAGAGTTCGTATGCTACTAAGTCTTGTTGCCCACGCCGTTGGGTACAAGATGATGGTAGGCGCCCATAACACTGTTTGTGTCAGACGCGTGTGGGAGGTATTATCGTATTCACCATGTATGGCAAATGATGGCGCCTACAACACTGTCGATGCCCAGAGGCATGTGGGGGGTTTTTACCGTGTTTGCCTGGTATGGGAATCGATGGCGCCCACAACACTGTAGGGCAAATCGTCGGCGGCCACAACACTGCTTGGGTTCTGACAAGCTTGGAAGGTTGCAGGGCACCCTTCTAGCATGTCCTGTCGGTACTGTCCTGCAGGTGTACAGAGTATGATCCTTGGTTTTGCGGTTTGACTTGAGCGTCCTGGTTTTACTTGCTCTGCCCATTTCCTGGTCCTCACCGAGTGGGCGTCCCCGGTCGGTTGGTCCCAGTCAGCTCCGACTGCGCCAGTCGGAGAAGAGCTGTAAGCAGAGGTTCGATGTATCTCCGGTCGGAGACGCGGGTCAGAGTCGAAAGCGTTGTTGGCCAGGCCTTCCGGTCGGAGAGGCGGGCCGGAGTCGGAAGCGAGGCCTTCCGGCCAGAGAGGCGGACTAGAGTCGGAAGCGGGCGCCGTTCCTCCTTGGTCAGGCCTTCTGGTCGGAGATTGGATCGCCCTTCTGGCCTATCGTTAGGTTTTTGGGTCGGTCCAGGAGTTGCGCGTCGTTCGCAACGTCGTCTGCTGGGCCGAGCTTTTTGCTGGGAAGCAGGTCCATGAGGGACCCGGGTTTATGAACCCGACACGCATACAATCTAAATTTAAGCATCATAACTTGTAATCAACTATAAAGACGATAACTTAAAACCAATGATGAACCTTACACTACTGTAGAAAACTTAACCGAGGTGGGCAAGCCAACCGCCTCCGTCAAAAGGTCACGGTTAATCGGGTTTTAACGGAGAAACCGCCTCGGTTAATCAATTAACCTAGGCGGTCGCCATAATTCAACCGCCTCGGTTAATCGATTAAAAGACAACAAAATCCCCGAGCCTACCAGTGAGCCCGTTCCCGAGCCCGCCGACGAGCCCGTTCCCTAGTTCCACCGGCGAACCCGTTCCTAGCCCAGTAGCCGGATCTAGCCACGTCGTCGCTTGTCGTGCCGCACGCAGGAGTAGGGATCCACGCCAGAGGAGGTCAATCCTCGCCGGATCCGCGCCGGACGAGGTCGATCCGCGCCGGGGAAGATCGATCCACACCGGGGAAGGCTGGATCCGCGCTGGGGAAGGTCAACCCGCGCCGGAGGAGCTCGATCCATGGCGTAGGAGCTCCAAGGAGAGGGACACTGTCGCTGCCGCCGCCTCCTCCGGGCCCGCGTGCGAGGGCCGCCGCCACCTCTTCTGGGCCCGCGCGCGTGGCTCCTGCGGCCGCCGCTGGGTGGGCGCGCAAGGCCGCCGTCGCCACTGCCACGTCTGGAGAGAGAGAGAGAGAGAGAGAGAGAGAGGGAGGAGCCGGCGTGGCCATGGAAGAGAGAGGGAGGAGCCGACCATGCCGCACGCAGAGGGAGGAGTGGGGCGCGCTGAGGAGGAGGGAGGAGCTGAGAGAGATGGAAAAATGAGAATGAAAGTCTAACCCTAACTCTCCATATATTATATATATAACGAGCGTGGTATTGGGTCGAGATGGGCTGCCTGTTGGGCCACTATTTCTGGAGGCGGTTGCCTTGTAACAACCACCCTGTGTTAATGTATTAACCGAGGCGGGCAACCTAACACGCCCGCCTCGGTTAATATCGATTAACCGAGACGGTTGTATTACGTTGCCCGCCTCGGTTAAGCATTAACCCCGCCTCGGTTAAGCATTAACCGAGCGGTTGCTGAGCCGGCTGCCCTGCCACGAATAACCGAGGTCGGCAGCCGGCCCAACCGCCTCGGACGCCCAAAACAAAATGCCTTGTAAGTTTTTTTTGTGTAGTAGTGTTAAAAGATGTAAACTTTGTTACAGAAAATGATATCACCATACTCATATTTGAAAAGCACGGTCTTATGGTTACTATTATTTGGTATAAATATTATTATAGTACAACAGGGAGTACAGCTCTAAATTAAAGACTGTAATGTAACGAGTCAAACCACATCTTATATATTCAGAGGAAATGGAGGGAGCAGTAATATATTGCTTGTCAGATATATCTGTTGGTGCTTTGACGAGGTCCACGGAGAAGAAGCATTGCGCCGTAGCCAATGCACATGTAGAGATCTCAAGAGATTTTTTTAAAAAAAAAGTCCACATGCTGTTCATCATGGTGTGTTTTCACTCAAAATCACAACTGTGAATGCCCAACACCGTATGCATACAAAAAATTAAGAATTATACTTGGAGTCCGATCAATCAAAATAACATTGTACAGTAAGAGACAAGCATATATGCCACACTCATTTGATCAACGCGCGAGTAATTAGCGGCGGGACTTAATAATTAATAATATAATTAATCAGTAGTACAAGTAGAGAGAGAGAGAAGAGGTAGTAGGAGTAGAGAAGTCCTCTCGGACTTTGCTTCCGAAGCAAGGCAATCTAGAAAGATTCCTCGCTGTCAGCTGCACTAGCACTACTACTACACACACCGAAAGCGCACGCGCGCCAACCAGACGACACGGCCCCAAATTAAACTTCTCCATTTTTTTCAGAAAAAAAACTATTTACATCATCGTCCCTTCTTTCCATTTCATTTCACATCTACTACTACTAGTAAGTACCTAGCTTAACTTCTTCTAGTTCAAGCAGCAAGCTAATACTACCACTACTAATTACTTACTACTAAACCTTAATTAGCTAGCCTTCTGCAAGGCCAGCAAAAACATAACAAAATAATGCTTTAACTGCTTAAGCACCAGCAACAAGAACACGCATCATCATCATCATCGTCAGCAGCAGCAGCAGCACAGCTCGTGATCGACGAGCAAATAACACCATGGCTTCTTCGTTCTACCTGATCATAAAGTGACCTCGCTAGCTCCGATCCCCCGCTTATTAATTACCTTGATTGATCGATCAGCCGAAGTTGTAGCCATTGCCGTTGTTAGTGGAGGCCGGGCGGCCGGTGGGCATCGTGGTCTGCGCCGCCTGCATCATGCTCTGCAGCAGCAGCCGGTCCTCCGCCGACGAGGACTCGAACCCGCCGTGCAAGAACGACGGCACCATGCCGTCCCCGCCGCCGACGCCGGCTTGCATGCCGTAGCCGACGTCGCCGCCGCCGTACTGCTGCTGCTGGTGGTGCTGCGGCCTGAAGAGCTGGCTCTGCAGCGACGTGGCCGTCGGCCGGTGCTGCGCGTGCGCCGCCGCCAGCTGGTGGTCGAACGACATGACGGCCGACGTCGGCGACGGGCGCAGCAGCTGCCGGCCGTACTCGCCGGCGCCGGCGCCGCCACCGAAGCTGATCACGGGCCCGCCGCCCGCGCCGCCGCCGGGGCCGTAGGGCCCCTCCGGGATGCCGGTGAACTGCTGCACCATGGCGCGGAAGTTGGTGGTGTCCGTGTTGAGCAGCGTGACGGGCGCGCGGCGGGACGCGCGGGCCCGCCGCCGCGCGGGCTTCCCCACGCGCCCGCCCTCCACACCGACCCCGGCCTGCTGCTGCGCGCGGGTCGGGCTGCCGCCGGACCCGCCGGACGTCGGGCTCGACACCGACCCGCCTGCCGCTGCTACTGCCGCCGCCGTCGTCACCACCGTCGCCTCCGTCGTCGCCGGCGCGCCGCCCCCCCCGTAGAATCCGCCCCAGGGGGCCATGTTCGCTCCAGTGTCTCCCATGCCAAGCTCGCTCGCTCGCTCGCTAGGTTGTCTATCTAGCTAGTGTTCCCGTCGTCGTCGTCGTCGTCGTCGGCGTACGCCGGCCGGTAGAGGAGTAGAGTTTTTTTGGGACGGACGGGGAGGCCAGGTACTTATAGCTGCCCCCGGCGACGAGTCAAACGGGGGCGCTCGAGATGGTCGCCGCGCCGTCGGATGCGCGATGCACGGCGGAGGACGGCGCGCCACGTCGCGTTCTGGAAGGTGTGGATGGCTCGCGCAGGTTTCCACGAAGCGTCCGTCGGACGGGGGTGGAGCCGCGGGGCCCGCCCGTGGGACCGGTCGCTGCGCTGGGCCCCACGCGAGCGAGCTGCGGGGATGGCGCGCGCCGTGAATTCGTTGTCGCGGTTCTTTTCTCTCTCTCTTTTTCACCCCCTTTCCAGTTTCCACTCCTCCCTGTCGCAGCAAAAAAGGAGGGCTGTGGTTAATTTTGCAGGCGACGTGCGGCGCCGGTGCATCACTATTCATCGCTGCTGATTTCGGGGGCGAGGTGGCGGCGGCGGCGGCCGTGTCGGGCTCGTCGCGGCGGACGACGACGACCTCTACGATAGCGCGCACAAATTTTATTACCAGAAACAGCAACAGCAAGCAGTAGCACTCACGTTCCGTTTGGGCTGGGCCGGGCCACGCGCGCACGAGCATGCAGCGACAGGAGTTGGCGTTCCCTCGGCTGCCTGCGTTTTAGAGGACAAAACGCATGCGGCACATTGGGCTGGCTTGGCCGCCATTTTGACACATGTGAACTGACCCGGTGAGGGAGCGCGGCAACGACGACGAAGCTTCCGGCGGCGGATCGGAGCGAGTCGGTAGGCATCTCATCCTCTCCCCTTCTTCTCCTCGATCCATCGGTCGTCATCAGCTCCCGCCAAGAACAAACAAAAGGGCCGTCGACGGCTTAGGTTGTCTGTTTCTTCCTTATTTTACCCAGCACGTGCCCCTTTGAATCGAAAGCCTGGTGTTCCATCGGACACACTATGCGTCTACAACGGCCGCCGTCAGTCAAGTTTACACATTTTTAGATTATATTAAAAACATCCGTTGTTCCAAGACCAAATATTGTTGCAGCCTAGCCTATCTACAGGGGACTAGTAGCTACGATATATATATATGTATGTGCACCAGTACGTCTAGCGACAACTAAATAAATAACATATATAGCTCTGATTTAACAAGTTTACACAACCAGAATATTCAATTTCTCCTAGTGAGGTGGAGTTCTCCTAGTGTTTTAGTATTTAAAATTTAGTATAAACTTTCCCTACCCTCATAGTGAGATTTTCATGTGCTATGACTAGTGGTACTGTTTTATTACTACTTAAAAACACTAGGAGAAATCCACTATTTTGGTAGTGTTATTATTATCACAGCATATATATATATATATACATATATATATATATATATATATAGGTTCTAAAGTATATACAACTATCTATGAGGTCCACGTGTGCATATATAGAGAGAGAACCCCTATGTAAACGACCATGCTAGCTAGTATACTTTTCAAAAGAGAAGCTATAGCATATACATAAAGCTAGGCCATCAGAGAAACACGTAGTGCCATAGAGATTGTCAACACACAAAAAGCAACGCAAAAACCCAGTTACAAACGGTTGTGTGAGAAACGAACACATGCATATACTAGGTACTAGGTAGCCATCAGTTGAATTTCGCTGCGGCTGGTTGTTCCGGCCGGTCAGAGGATTTGCCTGGTCGTCCTCCAAAATGACAGCCGAGCCTCTAAATTAAGCTACTAGAAAGCTACAAGCGACGGCCGCCATCTATCTATCCATCAGCCAACTTTTAATTCATTTATTTGCTCGAGTTTGCACGGCTCTCGATCGATCTGACTAGTTTGGAGGTCAAATGGTACTGGACTGTCTGGTGCATACGTTGGTGGCTAGCTTCATTGCTTCAACGTGTTCGATCGTGACCACACCTAGGATAGTACGATCCATGACCACTACTATAACACCACCACCCTCCTGTACGTATCAAACGTGTTTATATTTGCTTGACCTGCCAACATAAAACCATCTCTCTTAGCAATAGTCGTCCTGCACATGTGTGAGTCTGGCCACCACATGATTTTATTTTTTCTTCGATTTTGCCTCTGAATTTATGATAACATTCAACGTGTTCGATCGTGACCACACCTAGGATAGTACGATCCATGACCACTACTATAACACCACACCACCCTCCTGTACGTATCGAACGTGTTTATATTAGCTTGACCTGCCAACATAAAACCATCTCTCTTAGCAATAGTCGTCCTGCACATGTGTGAGTCTGGCCACCACATGATTTTATTTTTCTTCGATTTTGCCTCTGAATTTATGATAACATCACACAAGTATATATAAAGTTCAGCGAGACAAGATAGCTGAATTAATCGACTGCAACTTCACACTCCGTTTTGCTTTTTATTTCAGTTTTGAGCAAGGTGTAACTTCAATTCGCAGGGTGGTCAGCGTTTTCAAATGGCTCCCAGCCTCCAGCGTGCGCGGCGCGGCTCGGCAGTTTGCGGTGGGACCCAGCAGAAGATGCGGACAGGACCCTGACGTGTGAGCTCACGATATGGCACGAGTCAATGGGTTGACTGGATTGGATATTCTTTTCCTCCACACTTCGCCCTCAACATCGATCTCAGCATCCTTTTCCTATTATATGCTTTGTTAACCCAACACCCAAGATAATGTGCTTCTTGCCGAGTCTCCGGCCTATATATTTGATAAAAAAAAATTACAACGGCAAAGCCGAATTTCATGTACTTATTAAACCATATAAACCCCATCAGGTGAAAGTTGAATGTGTCTTCTACTCCCTCTAGTCCACTTTATAAGGCACAATCTAACATAGCATGGTCTTCCTGAGTTACGCTATATTGATCATTTATTTATTTATATTATATTGTTTGTAATTATAAACTTATAATTATTGGATAGTACATTTGATTATAAATCTAATAATATCAAGTTTGTATTATAATAGTTAAAAATTGTTGGCAAAATAATTAGTCAAAGATTATACAGTTTGGCTGTTGACGTATGAGAAATGCTTTATAAAACTAGACTGAAGGAAGTATATCTATTTAATGGGCCATCTCTTAACACGCTGAGCAAACATCAACATATATTGCACTGCAAAAATTGACTTAAGGAATTGCTAAAACTTTATATGAACTTGTTTGGTTTAGACCCTAAAAAAGTTGCTTAGTCCAGGCATCAATCCTAGACGTCCAATCCTAAACATGTGGCAAATTTTCCGGAACACCAACCAAACATATCAGCCCAATATGCGTATTCTTTCACCTAACCTGCATCAGATGAAAGGTAACAAAGTTAACCATTATGCATGCATAACTTGAAACTTTGGTGACAAGTTTTTGACCTGAAAGATACACTAGGGCTTCTTCACATGTGGTCTGTAAAAACAGAGGATGATGGTGGTGCTTTCAGATACTGCATAAAGAAGAACAGGTTTCATCTACCGTCACTCAGGCTAAGAAAATGACCTGCAAGTCCGCTTTGGTAATAGAGTATTACCTGTCACGGTCACTATTTTGCCACATGTGAGCTTATAGGATATAATACAAAAGAAGCACAGGATGAAGAAAGGATAGGGTTTGGTTAGGATTTGGTGTGGACCGGGCCCCACCAGGACGTTGACCTTTCGGCGGTTGATTGGTGTAGTGAAGGAAGCAGGGGAGCTGCTGGCCTATGGGCCGGTTCCATCTATCTAGAATCCTTGTTGTTGATGCCTAGCTGCCCAACTTCTGTGCAGCCTGTAACAGCGTCTAAGGTAAATTTTGTCGGGAAATAGGGTGCTTGCAAAGGGTTTTCATTACATGATTATTTTTCTTCGAGAGGTGAAGAGATTAATAATTGATTGGCGACAACCGTGTATGCTCACATCTAGCTCCAACTTATCTTCTTCAGCTCAAATTTGGGTGTCGTTTGTTTGCCTACATAGTAGATAATGCAAATGTTACCTTGTTTCTTGAATGTGATCTATCTTTGCCGTGTCGTCTTACAGGACATTGTTTGCCACACGTGCTCATGAATGTCTAGTTGAATCATTGCTTCACTCGGCATAAAAAAAAAAAGAATCATTGCTTCACTCACAAGTTACAGTAATTTGGAATAATTCAACTTTATAGATGAGATAACACCAAGTCACTCTTCAAATGTCTTCATGTTACACCTACTCTAGCAGTCATCTTCAACTGTACAATTAAATCGGTAAAGATTTTACTTTTGCGTCATTTTGATTCCCCCACACAAGTCAATTGGTTTACCGGCCCCCCTTTTCTTGACAGGGGAAGTCAATTAGTTCACTAGGATTTTTCCTAGTGCTTTCGCCTTTCCCGCCCATGTCATTGGTAGCTTTCATTTTTCACCCGTCTCTGTGTGATGTTCCTACGTCACCTGCTCCTAAACCACTTACCATGTCCTTTTACCATTGCTAACACCACTTTTCATTTCAGTGTGCCCAAACTTACAAGACATCTGGAAAATATGAATCCTTCAGTCATGTACAAACTAACTCAGCCATTATTAAAACTAACCTAAAATAGCCCTATAAATTTGCATTTATATTACTCACGTATTCTACTGTAGAAAAATAACCCAAAATATCGGCTCACTTCTAAATCCACAGATTTCGAGGAAAAAAATCTGTGGATTTAGAAGTGAGTAGATATTTTGGGTTATTTTTCCACATTAGAATACGTGAGTAATATATGGATTGGATAATATAGTGGCAAATCAGATAAACCAAAGGCTTATCTTGCTTGCTTGGTCCTAAAGTTTTGAGCCAGTCCACCAGGTCCCATATCCCATGAGCCCAACGAGAAAATAGGGGGAAATTCAAAGGAGCATATGCCGTTGAAAGTTCAAGTCGTTCCCAGGCGGCAGCCCTAACTTCAACGATTCCATCATATATATATATATAGAGAGAGA